GAAGAGTGGAGAGGGAAGGGGTGGTTGGAGCCGATTAGAATAGGGAGGGAGGATAGGAAGAAGTTAGAAGAGGAAGAGTGGAGAGGGAAGGTCAACAGTCGGCTGCACAAATAAAGATTAGGGTTTTTTAACCCTCAATTAGTTTATATATTAATATTTAGTGTCCAAAACGACGTCGTTTCGGAGGGCCGGGCGGGGACGGGGCGGATACCACAAGATCCATCGCCACCCATTACCCGTTACTCACGGATTTCGGGTATGCCCGAATCTGCCCTTTACCCACGATGGACGGGTAAAATGCCTCACCATCTGAGTGGGTTTCGGGTGGGTATCCGGCGGGCCGGTCAATGTTGCCATCCCTAATCAGATTTATCTAAATTAGGCGTTCATATGTTGTGGTCTACACTCTACATATACAAATATACATTATAGGAGCAATATCAAGCTTTATATTTTATGAGTCTAAAAGGGATGAACGTTTAACTCTTGAGTGGTTATTCAAAGTATTAAGTATGTGTATATATTAGATATATGACTAATTATTTATCTGGTTAATTTGGTTTGGCTGGTTAGGAGTGTCTGAAACCAAACCAAACCACCTAAACCAAACAAGCTTAAAACTTTAACCAAACCAAACCAATTATCCAAATTAACCAAACCAAATTATCCAGATAGTACTGGTTAAAACGGTTACTATGGTAACCACACCGTTTGAACACCCCTAGTTGTGGTTGGTCTGAAAAAAGATGTTTTCCTTAGGTCCTACATAGTTCGGAACAATTCATCAACACTATGATGGGTACGGCTACACCTTTTTTCTGAAACCATTGTGTATCCCTCAAATTCGTACATGGAGAGGAGAAAGTTGTGTGATGATCTTAGGAGAACAAGAGTTAGTGCAGGCCTAGTATTATGATGGGTGATTTCAATGAAATGGCCTCTCTAGTTGAGGCTCTAAATGATCCTATTGTGTATAGCAGTATACTAGAATTCAGACTCGCAGGCTAACTTGGACATTGAAGAGCATGAGTGATAGAAACACGTTTCCTTAGGGAAAACGGGTTTTCTACCATAAATATGATTAGTATTATCACTAGGATATTTACAAATAAGGTTATTAGTATTTTAGTAGAATTAGGTTTATTATTAGGTTTTCTATCTTTCCTATAAATATGTAATCTAGGTTTCATTATCAATCAAGCAAGAACAATTATTCAGAAAGTGTCTCTCTCAAAACCCTAATCCTCTATCTCCTAATTTCTCGTTCTCTAGCCCTCTAAGGCTTCGGCCGATTCTATCTTCTATTCTTCTTCTTCCCAAAATTCACAATCTCAATCCTCAATTCTATCATCAAATCCCTAAATTCCCAATCAACCATCACTATCGATAGAACACTAGAAATAGAGTTCTATCATTTGGTATCAGAGCCATGGTCGAAACTCTGAGTTCGTCACAACTCTCAACCAGGGACGACCGAGTATATGAAGACTTCAAACCTGACAGCATGAGGATGGAGCTGCAACGTAGCATTGTCTTGTTCTTCACCTTGCCTGGATTCAGAGAGAAGCACGTAGATGTGCAAGTGGTTGGATCTGATGTGCTAGCAATAATGGGAGAACGACCGTTGGCTGATGGTCACAGGTGTTTACGATTCAAAAAGCAAATCAGATTCAGAGCAACCCACGATATCAAACGGTATCGTACTAAGTTCGGGAAAACTTATTTCATCCTTCAAATCCCAAAGATCATCGCACCTCCTGTTCACAACAAGGAGGCAACAACTGAAATTCCACCACAGGTTGAGGAGACGCCGGCAAACCTCGAAGCACCACCACAGCCGCGCGTCAATATTGAACCACCAGCCAAGGAGATGGACGAGGAAGGAGAACCAGCAGAGAGCAGCATTGAGGCGGAGTGATGTGATCCAAATCCGAAGAAAACCCTCGAACTCGGATTATATGACCAAAGTACGCAGCCTTCCTTCTTTTTACGGAATTTTCGAAGCTTTTCTTGACAACTTGAAAATAAAGGATAGATATGGAACACGATCAGACAGATTCCAACTCGTGTGAAAGGCCAATTGGTATATGAAACCAATCAAACAATCACCCACTCGTGAATAAGGCCAATCGCTATTGGGTAGAAGCTCGCCACAACTAGATGCGTTCTTTAGTTGATAAGAGACACGTGAAACTCCTGGAGACTCTCGACAGAAGCTTGCACAAACGTTCACAAAGGAACACGAGTAAAAACTCTTAATTGATAACTTGAATGTTGGGTACAAAATTCGTAGCTCTTACATCCTCTATTTATAGAGGTCTCAAAAACATAAAACTAACCTAAAAGGAATAGGAAAACAAATCCCAAACTAACTAGGAAACATAATACTACTTAAACAAGGACTATAACTCGTTTTTATGACCAAAGGAAGCTCCTTAGCAGCTAAGTAATCTCCAAACACGTTTTTAATGCTTAAGGAAGCTCCTTAGTGGTTAAGCAATCTTTTTTCTTGCCCTTTTCACATTTGGACGACTTGGGCAGCAAGGATGGACGTTTTGGGCTTCAAGAAATGTTGTAGGCCGGATCCTTGATGCATTCTCCATTTTATCCATCAAGAATGCTCCCAGTTGATCCTTAAATCGTTGAATTCGAACCTTCATTTTGGGACTACGAGAATTGAATATCGCACTAGTCGATATCGCATCACGGAGGTAGCCAAACCTCAGTCTTTGCTGTCCGATGCAAAGAAGATGGTTGAGGTTCCCCCGCTGTCATCATCAACAATTGACTCTGCCGCAAGCATGGTGGCCGTTTTTGCGTCAATGCAGACGACGCCAACCTCGTTCGACAGCTGGAAGTTCCGGAAGGAGCAAGATCGTCCCGATTCGTCACAGGCATCGCGAATGGCGTCGGAGATTTCGCGGTCCGCGGCCCCGTTGGAGCGATTTAAGGCGGGCCCCGAGATGGCATCAGGCGGCGAGGACGCAAGATTGAGGAGGAAGTCGCCGGAGGAGGGGCGTGTCATCCTCGACCGACGGCTCGAAGCGGAGGCGGTGGGGAACCGTTGGATTGGATCGCCGGAGCCGTTAATAGATCTGGCGGCGAACGAAGAAGAGGGCGGCGACGACTCTCTCTCTCTCTCCCGATTGAGGGTGAACCTCAGTCGCCGTTGAAGAGAAATCCGCCAAGGAAAGAGAGGGAGAAGAAGTCACCGCGGGAGGAAGCGCCGGGAATGAGGTTGGAGGCGAAGTGGCGCCGCCTGTGGAGTAGTCCGACGCCGATGATGGAGACGAAGGGTTCGTCGTCGTGGAAGAAGAAGAAGAAGAAAAGAAAGAAGGACGCAAGAGGCGGTGAGTTTCCTCCCTCGTCACCGGAGAGAGAGAAGCGGAAGGGTGCCGGATTGGGGCCGCCCTCCACCCATCTGAGGAGATGCTCGCCGGTGATGGACGAGACGGAGAAGCCATCAACGGGGGAGCTGGCGGCGAACAAGACCCAGAGGAAGGGAGCTCTCCATCTCGCAAGCTCTAGGGCCGATCCCTTGGCCTGGGCCAGCTGGGCTGCGTGGACCGTGAGGGCTGATGAGCAGAGTGGGCCGGGCTTGAGGAAGAAGCTCAGTGAGTTTGCTACGGGCCAACTGATTTCGCAGAGCGGGCTGCGGGTGACAAAGAAGCGGGCCGTTCCAAAATCAGGGTACGGACGGGGTGAACTGGTTGCTAGATATATTATTTGGGCCGGCTCCATAGAGGAAGAAGGGTTGAGAGATTGTGGGCCAAGCCTGGACTGTGTCTTGATGGTGGGCTTTGAGGAAATGAAGGAGGAAATTGGATCTTGTGGGTTTTCAAGAGAGCAAGGCCCAAAATTAATGGAAGAAGCAACAAATTAGAGTTATGGGCTTGCTCCAAGCAAAATTTATGAAGGCCTTGAAGAAATGGTACTCAATGATGGATTCTTGAACAAGAACGAATCGTTGGATTCTTTAATTTGTTGGATTGTGAGGCCAACAAAAGCCGAGCTGTTGAAGTTCCAATTTGTCAAGGAGCGAATAATGTGCTCAGAGAAGTGAAGGTCGAAAAAGAAGATCAGCACAGGAAGACTGGTGAAAGAAGCCTAAGTGAAGAGTTAGAGCATGATTGGAAGAAAAGAAAACGCAAGGAGTGGAGGAGACAAATCGTGGATTGCGCAGACGATGTGAAGAAACGGGTTGAGATGATCAACCTTGAGGGCAAGGTTGGTCTCAAGGGGGAGGGAATGATAGAAACACGTTTCCTTAGGGAAAACGGGTTTTCTACCATAAATATTATTAGTATTATTACTAGGATATTTACAAATAAGGTTAGTAGTATTTTAGTAGAATTAGGTTTATTATTAGGTTTTCCTATCTTTCCTATAAATATGTAATCTAGGTTTCATTATCAATCAAACAAGAACAATTTCAGAAAGTGTCTCTCTCAAAACCCTAATCCTTTATCTCCTAATTTCTCATTCTCTAGCCCTCTAAAGCTTCGGCCGATTCTATCTTCTATTCTTCTTCTTCCCAAAATTCCCAATCTCAATCCCCAATTCTATCATCAAATCCATAAATTCCCAATCAACCATCACTATCGATAGAACCCTAGAAATAGAGTTCGAGACATGGGGAGCTTGGTTTGCCTAGTTAAACAAGCAAGCGACAAATCCTATTGCTCGTAGGCTGTATCGGGGGTTCGTAAATTTGAAATGGTTGGAACGATGTCCAGATAGTGTAATTGATTTGTTGCAACAAGAGACTCAAAACCAATTAGTACAGCTATAATAACCAATTGTGAAAGAAGAGACTCAAAACTATTTTGTTTTTCGAATTCCTCTACCCTTTTTAGTTTTTACAATACATTCTTTTGCTTTTGATTGTATTTAGTACAATTGGGGTATTTGCATATCACTTCAGTTAGCTTGTTTCTTTCGACTCAATTTCCTCTATCCACGCCCTTTATGCACATTCTCAAGATAGCACAAAGAATAGCGAGAGATTGTACTTAGAGGGTTCCAACATCAGATGGGCACAAACCTACTCTCAGTTAGTGCCTCTTGTATCTCCATGTGCATTGAAGCATAATATACAGGAAGCAAACATCCAACAACTGTGAAATGCTGTCAACAAGTTTCTCTAAGGAACAAATAACTCTTAGTCGAAATAGCAGCTTGCCATGAAGCTACAAGGCTAGAAGGCACCCAGATGCAGAGCAAACATAAAAGCTGAGCCTCAAAATGCATCCACAAATCCAATTCAATATCCCAAGTCCGTGAAGGAAGGAAATCTTACAACAGACAGAATTTAACCTTTGGCTTGTTCTTGAACCATACCATACTTCATGAAGAACTTCTTATGATTACAGCTCAACATATCACTCAAGCTACAATCTATGTTCCTCTCTCTTAAGAGTTTGTGCCTGGATTGCAACGTCTTCCTTAACCCACACTGGAAGAAGTGCGGGTAATCAACAACTTCATTGAGTTGCCTCCCCATAACATCAACCAGAAACTTGATCCTTGGTTCCAAAGAATTCCGAATACTCTTGATCAGAACCGGAGGGTAACCAGTGACCAGAGCTACCAGCTGTGCATCCCCAAAGCCACATCTCTTGAGAAAGTCCAAATTGGGTTTCAGAGTCTTGTCCACATCCCTACAAAGAACCTCAGGGAACGTGACAACCACAGTTTGAAGATCAGCTGCAGTAAGGCCAACTGATGACCTGAGGAACTCGGTTGTAGGGCGAAGCCTTTTATCGACACTGTACCCCACAATGAAGGGGTGTTTGACCACGACTTTGCCAACCATGCCGTTTTTGGTCAAGCCGAGACCAGTAAGGAAGTCAACCATCACTTTCAACTTGGTATCAATGCTATAGCTGACCAGCCTCGGGTTGAGCATTATCAGCTTGCCAACTTGCTTCTCGGAAATACCGAGCGCCTGAAAGAAGGCCAAAAGAGGGCACAGCTTCTCTTCCACACTGTGAGCGAGTATGTGAGGGAACTTGGTAATGGTGGAGGCAACTTCATGGGGTTTGGTGCCTAGGGTAGCAAGACACTCCACCATTGGGACGAGCCTCTCGTGGAGTCCAAGGGACAGGATTCTGGGGCACTTGGAGATGATTGAAGGGAGCTTCCTTTCCTGAATGCCAATGCTTTTCAAGAAATCCCAGTTCTCAGATGCTCTATCCTTGTGCACGCCTTCAAGACGCTTGCACTTGGTGAACATGTCATTGATGCCCGACTCGTCGAAACCTCTGTCTCTGAAGAACCACATGATGCTGGTAGGGTTTTGATTGCAGGCCATTTCCATTCTTGCTGAGAAAAGAAAACATGAAAGCTCTCTCTGAAACATGCCATATAAGCAAGCTATAACAGCTAGCGGATTCCCTTGAAGGCGAAACAAGAGACATCAAAACAAGAAGAAACAAGGCAATTCTTTCTCCAGCTATGCCCATTTTTTTTGCTACAGTTGAGGTGGAGGCTAGAGGAAATAAGCTCAATTATAAACCCAAATGCAGTAATTGAATGAAGAAGAAGAAGCGCAGTCTGAAAAAGTGCAAGGATGGCAACAACGGAAGAGTGAAGGTTTTACCTTTGGTTTCAGAAGGAACTGAAAGAGAGTAGCAAAGAGTTGAGGAAGGCGGACGATGACGAGAGCCTAGCTTCACCCACCGCAGGCGCAGAGAGAAAGAGGAGCTCGAGTCGATAATTTTTTTGGGCCTTCTCTCCCAGAGAGACTGCCTTATCCATCAAATTTTATTTTGCCCTTGTCGCTTTCTTTTCCTTAACGAATTACCAACTTGCCCTTCTCCCAATTGGCAAAAACCCTCCTAGAGTCCTAAACTAGACTCGCTCTCTCCAGGTCCAGTTCCAGGGGGGGATCAATCCAATTTCCAAACCCTAAACTAAAAGGCCAAACTCGCTGTAATGGCGTGGTCGTCTGCAGTGAAACTGAGGGTTCCGATCCCAAACTCGCTTGCAGCACTGCTACGCCGCTGCAGTTCTTCGGCTGCAGGAGAAACTGGCTTTGGTAAACAAATCGAAAATGACGAACCCTTCGCTCCTGCGCCTCCAAATCCTATACCTAATAGGCCTCTGAGACGCGAGAGACCCTTCCAGTCCCGCTCCGCCGCCCCTCCGCCCCCACTTCCTCCGCCGCCGCGAGCTTCTCACTTCCCCCAAAATCATAATAATGCGCAGCCACGGACGAGGACGGACAGGGATGTTAATTCCAATCGTGACGATCACATCTCCGATGCTGCCTTCCTCGACAGATTCAAGCTCCAGCCCGACGGCGGGGATCCCCAAACCCACTCTCCTACTACGGCAGCAGCTCCGCCTCCACCGAAAGAGGGCGGTGGCGATGAAACTCATCGGAACCCAACAAATTCCGATCATTCCCACCACCCACAATCGCCTCCTCCCGAGGCCGACGAGATCTTCAGGAAGATGAAGGAGACGGGGCTGATCCCCAACGCTGTCGCCATGCTCGACGGGCTGTGCAAGGACGGCCTTGTCCAGGACGCAATGAAGCTCTTCGCTCAGATGCGGGAGAAAGGAACAATGCCGGATGTAGTTATTTACACGGCGGTGGTGGATGGCTTCTGCAAGGCCCAGAAGCTGGAGGATGCCAAGAGGATTTTCAGGAAGATGATCAGCAATGGCATCAACCCAAATGCCTTCAGCTACACGGTCTTGATCCAAGGACTGTACAAGTGTGCCCAGCTCGACGATGCCGTGGAATTCTGCTGCGAAATGCTGGAAGCTGGCCATTCTCCTAATGTGACCACTTTCGTCGGCTTGGTGGATGCCATGTGTAGGCACAAGGGTATGGAAGAAGCTCGGGGAGTCATCAAATCGTTGCGGGAGAAAGGGATGTATCTCAATGACAAGGCCGTGAGGGAGTTCTTGGACAAGAATGCGCCATTATCTTCGGCACTTTGGGAAGCTTTCTTTGGGAAGAAACCAACTCAAAACCTTTTCTGAGTTGCTCAGCTACTGCCCTGGTTAGTATACAGAGCCTGTTACCCGTAGGTCCGAGTTTCTTATTGCTGCAATTTTGTTAGATTGCTGATCAAGGTTTTAAGTCCTCGGCGCCTAGTAAGCGAATTCACAAGTGACACAGCTAAGGCTCTGTATTAGAAGTTCAGTTTCCTGTTTAGTGTTCACCTACTATAAAACTTCTTTGTCCAAGAACATTGTTTCATACCTTCAGGGCCGGCCAAGTACGATAAACTACAGTTGGCCGAGTTACTTCCAGACATTGCAACTGCCCTGCAGATGCGCCATTCAAGCAATGTTCCATGCATCCAGCAACTTGGTCTCATGTGGCGCGCTATAGAAACAGAGACTAAAAACTTGGCAGGCTGCACTTCAGGTGTCGAGCTTTTTCTACAAGTTCCGGCAGTTAAAATTGCCATGCATTTTCCAGTTTTTTCTAATCTTAAAACGGCGTTTGGTAGTTTGGATCAAAACTGAACTGATCGAATTTGCCCCTTCATTTGCAACTAAGCTAATGACCTCGTTTGTTTCAGTTAAATGGATACCGGAATGTGTGACGTAGAATCTGCAAAACTATAAATCTATCTGCTCGAGTAAAAACCTCATCCACGAACAGGCTTGTCACGTCAGCTTTTGGTAAAAACTGTGACGAACCAACTCTTGGCTGTGTGGCACTTAGCACTCAAGTCTTGTTAGAGCGCTAAGTCAGCTTTGTTCGTGTTCACTCAAACTCACAAGTGTAGGAGAAAACTCTATGGATGGAAATTCTCTTATTTATGGATGAATGACAAATGAGGGAGAGAGTTGCTTATATAGGCATCCTCTCCACTAAGCACAATGTATGTAGGCGTCATAAATGAACGAACCAAGAAGTCCCCATACATGAACTTGCCCCCATACATGAATGTTAGTAAATAAGGTGAATGCATGAGCACTCATACATGAATCGTAATAAAATGAGGGGGATGTATGTACATTGGAGCATAAATCTAGAGATGCATGCATGCATGTACCTACACCTTTCTAGAATCTTCCTTGTGACATTCTCCCCCACTCAATCTTGCGAAGCCCTCGTCGCGGACTGCGCATGAAATGCGTCGATCAAGTCTTTTTGATGCCATAGCAAAAGCTCCTTTTCCCAAGTGATGTCGCTCTCTGGCCGCCCTTTCCACTTGACAAGGTACTGACACAAGGAAGATTCTAGAAGAGTGTAGGTACATGCATGCATTTCTAGATTCATGCTCCAATGTACATACATCCCCCTCATTTATTACGATTCATTTATGAGTGCTCATGCATTCACCTTATTTACTATCATTCATGTATGGGGTCAAGTTCATGTATTGGGGGACTTCTAGGTTCGTTCATTTATGACGTCTACATACATTGTACTTAGTGGAGAGGATGCCTATATAAGCAGCCCTCTCCCTCATTTGTCATTCATCCAGAAATAAGCGAGTTTCCATCCATAGAGTTATCTCCAAAACTTGTGAGTTCGAGTGAATACGAGCAAGGCTGACTTAGCACTCTAACGAGACTTGAGAGCTAAATGTCGCACGTCCAAGAGTTGCTCCGTGACAAGTGGTATCAAAGCCCCGTTCGTGACTCATAAAGTGAGAAAGAACCTCGAAGAGATGGTTGGATCCGCCTCTGAAGTTGTCAATGATGAGCAACGTGGACATGACCAAAAGAAGGAGCAAAACAAAAACAGGCGAGATAGATCTACTCGAGAGCCCTTGGTTGCACTCGAAGAGGCTCGTGAATGTAGAGACGAAGATTGCCAAGCACACCGCCATGTTCCCAGACATGGAGTCGAACTTCGACCTAGTCAACACAGAGGTGCAGACCTCGAAGAATGAAGTGCAAGGCATGGCTACTCGAATGTCGGGGTTGGAAGTGGGATTAAAAGCTTTTCGAGAAGAGTTTCTGACCATCATCACCAACGCCATCGATTCATTGAAGGAGACCGTTCGAGGCCAAGTAGAAGAAGTAAGGGAAGAGTTTGGCGAGATTCGAGGAGAACTCAATCTTGTCAAGCGAGCCGTGGCTAACGGACCTGCCGCGACTCAAACTACCCCACGAGTGGTTGTTCCAAAGCCGAAGAATTTTGGAGGATCGAGGAACTCAAGGGAATTGGAAAATTTCCTTTGGAGTCTTGAGCAATATTTCAAGGCTTCGGGCATCAACGACAACGAGGTCATGGTGCGCATCGCTTCACTTTATTTGGTCGATACGGTCATGGTGTGGTGGAGGAGAAGACAAGGAGACGTCGAAAGAGGCACGTGTGAGATGAACACGTGGGAGGATTTTCGGAGGGAAATCAAGAAGCAATTTTATCAGTCGCTATTCTACATTCCAAAAAGCATGGAGGCAAGGTTTCTTTAGGATTAGAACAAACAGGACATAAAAGTCCTTCAACATCCTCTTCCTCAATGAGCTCCTTATCCCGTAGGACATCTCGCGCAGGTGAGAAACCTTTAATCAACCGCCATAGGAAAACAGGCAATTTAGGAGGAACAGAGAGGGCCCAAAGAGCTTTCCAAGCCCGAGAATCAAAGATAACAGGAATAGTAGAAGGATTACGCACAAATTCAGAAGCTGCAACATGATAACCAGATTTCACTGAGTACTCACATGATGGTTCGTAATGCCATATAAGTTTGTCAGCCATAGGAAGTTGAGGAAGCGGGATCCTAAGGATTACCTTAACTGTGGCAGCATCAAAAAGAGTCTCCAGTATGTCCATTTTCCAAGTTCCATTCGAGTGGTCAATGAGAGAGGAAACCTATGTAGATGGCAGAATAGCATGGGCCAACAGCTTGGGACTAGAGGGAGGCGTGGTGGGGAGCCAGCAATCATCAGTAATGTGAATTTGTGTGCCAGATCCAACGAGCCAGCAGAGACCTTGCAGCAAGAGATCACGTCCAATCATCACGCCTTGCCAGGCCCAGGATGGGCGAGCTCCTTGGACAACCTGCAAAAATGAAGTCTGAGGAAAATATTTAGCTTTATACATCACGGCTAGAGTATTATCCGAAAGTTGGAGGATTCGCCATGCTTGTTTAGCTATCAGAGCTATATTATTGTTGTCGAAGTCTCGAAATCCTAGTCCACCATGGATTTTATGCCGACAAAGCGATCTCTAGGATGCCCATTTCATAACTTCATCTCGATCTTGTTGAGCCCACCAGAACCTCGCCAAATGTCCATTTATTCGTCTACAGAAAGTTGATGTCATGCGGAAACTAAGCAAAGCATAGTTCGGCAAGGCTTTGGCAACGGACTTCAGGAGGGGTTCTTTAGCAGCAAGAGATAGTGCCTTGGATTTCCATTGTTGAAGCCGAGAGACTAGCTTATCTTCAAGGCATTGAAATGTAGCTTGCTTGGACCGAGCGATATGAGAAGGGAGTCCTAAATAGCGGTCTTCTAAAGTGCTTTCTGCTACTCCCAACATATTAGTGATGGCTGCTGCATCTTCAGAAGAAGCGTTTCTGCTAAAAGTAACTGAGGATTTATGGAGATTGACTTTTTGCCCACTAACCTGTTGGTAAGAGGCAAACAAAGAGAGGAGGTTATGACATTCTGGGATTGAACCTTTGAGAAAAAGGTAAGTATCATCAGCGAAAAATAGATGCGATATCACCGGACATCGCCAATGCACTTTTATCCCATGAAGAAATGAGCTTGGATTGTCTGGTCAATGAAATGAGAGAAACCTTCTGTATAGAGAGCAAAAAGCAGAGGAGATAAGGGATCTCCTTGGTGGATACCACGTTCTGGATGAAAGAAACCGTGTGGGCTGCCATTAAGTAAGACCGATAAGGATACAGTTGTGACACATTGTTTGATCCATTGTAACCATTGATCACAAAAACCCAAACGCTGTAGAAGAGAGAACAAAAATTCCCACTCAACCCTATCGTAAGCTTTCTCCATATCTAATTTTAAGGCCATCCACTTCTCTTGACCAACGATCTTAGTTTTCAGGAAATGCAACACCTCCTGCCCGATAAGAATGTTATCAGAGATTAACCGACCCTTGACGAAACCATTTTGGAAAGGACTTACCACATGAGGGAGAATAGCAATTAGGCGAGTGGTGAGAATCTTCGAAATCCCCTTATAAAAGACTTGACATAATCCAATGGGTCGCATTTGTCTCATTGATTCTTCATTTGGGACTTTAGGTAATAAGGTGATCCAAGTGTGGTTAAAGTTAGGTAAAAGGTGGCTGGTGACAAAGAATTCCTGAATTGCAGCCACAACTGAATCTCCTACTAGACCCCAAAAAGATTGGAAGAAGATGCCGGTAAAACCGTCTGAACCAGGGGCCTGGAAGCCTCCTATACTGAAAATAGCAGAACGAATATCTTCTCTAGTAACAAAGGCAGTTAGGAAAGCATTCATATTGTCAGTAATCATAACCGGCAATCCCAAAAAGTCTAAGAATGATTGAACATTTGAGCATTCAGAAGTGAATTGGTGAATGGAAAATTGAATAGCTAACATACCTTTATCATATTCCTCAGAGTGGAGAACACCATTTTCATCGCGGATAGCAAGAATCCTATTCTTACAGCATCGTTGCAAAGTCATAAGATGAAAAAATCTTGTATTTGAGTCTCCTTCCGTTAAGTATGTGATTCGGGATTTCTGTTGCCAGTAGAGTTCTTCCTGGAGGTAAGCTTCAGCTAATTGTTGCTCAAGTTGACTGATGGTTACCCAATCTATTGGATAATTCGTTCGAAGTGAAGTGATGGCATCCCGAGTCTCGCGAATTGCCCGAGAAGAATTAGAAGTTCCTTTCGAGGCCCAGTTGAAAAGTTGGTGGCGGGAAGACTTCAAGGTGGTATGGAGCTGGAATTGTAGAGTACCACTGTAGGTACGATGCCATTCAGTGTCAAGGATACCCTGAGTTTCCAGATTATCAATCCAGCGTGCATCGAAGTGGAAGTTTGCCTTCGTACGAGCTGCCGCGGGATGAA